CGTGTCCCGCCTACTCAGCATATCTGCTCAGACGAGCTCGCCTCTGAAGCGCTCTTAGCATCCGTCTATCGGCTGCGGCGTAGCAAGCAGACAAGACTTCGGCAGCACGTCACATCGCAGTCCACAGTCCTCGTTCAATCTAACTCAGGACCTGATTTGCCCGCTTCCATCAAACTTACCTTAGTATCCCATATGCGGCAATGTCTTCTGATCTTACTCTTGTCAGGTGGCGGTGACAGCGGAACTCTTCCAAGCAAATCCTCTTCAATGGGGCGACAAGCATTTCCACAAATTTGGCAGCCTACATCATCTCAACGGAGTGCTGTCCCATTCTCAAATTCCAGAGATCGCCACAGAAGACCTCATCCACCTTGCGATCCTAGGCTTGAAGGGATGCCGAGCCTTGGTTGAGGAGGAAGGTCAAAACCCCGGCTCGAGCGTTGGCCAAGGGTTCCGAATTAGCACCAACAAATGAAGCCCAGAGACAGCTCTCTTAGACTGTTACCATTTCGCGCTGATCAAAAGACTCAAGTGGGTTGATCTAAGGTGAGGGTAGTGCTACAATCTAGCCGCAACGATGACTGCAGTGGCTTGTCTCATCTGCTCTTTGCTCAAGTTTACCAGACTTCGATTCTCCAAGACTTCCAACCTCCAGACATGCAGTTTACAATTCACAAAGGGTCACAAGGCATCTTACTGCCTTGGTGCGCTTGAACTGTAAAGAATCGAAGGGGCCCTTTTCTACTGTAGACACAGAAAAGCTGAAAAAATCAAAGTTCAATGTCCATGAATAACCGACCCCACAAAACCGAGAAGCCCAATCAGCATTCTCACAGTCTGAGGAAAACCACCTAGCTACCTGGAAAACTCGTGGCGTTTAAAGGCTTGGCCATATAGGGACTTTTTTCATTGGACTAAAATGCATGCAATCGGTGAAATTCATTCAAACTCGTAGTGGGCCAGTTATTGAAGGTTCCCTACCTTGAGTCTCACAGGCAAGACACACTGTTCCAGGATAAGCCATCTCTTCTCTGAGTTCCAACAAAAGCTGTTAAAGGGTCATCTGGAGGCCCTTGTATCTAATGATCGCTACAATCATTATTATTGTAAAGACGTTCGCCGGACCATTCAATGTCCAGCGTGATCTTCTGGTAGCTGAAGTCCGTGCAGCTGGACATCAGAAGGATGTAGTCACGCGTTCGTCAAGTGGATCGCACATTGCGAAATCGTTTGGGCTATTGAAAGGCTCATTGCAGACCATGAAGGTGGATGCCTAACTTAAACTGTACCAGCGCAGCCAAGATAAGCGTGCAGTTCTGCAGTGCACTGACTACTGGCCGATATCGAGTGTTGATGACGAACTGATCAACCGAAAAGCCATGCCTTGTCGCGAGTCGAGATTCGGTACGAGCCGAGGGCCTGAGGCAGACGCAGGAACTGATTTTCGTTTGATTTTTGCCTACAGCTTCGGTGGGCTACTTTAGTGGTGTTTGTCCTAAGCTCTGTCTCTATTCACGTCTAGAAGCGTCTATTCGACTAAGCAATGGATGAAATCCCCATAAGTCCCTCACCAGCCATTATAGCCAGAATGTCGTCGCAAATGATCGTAGTCCACCTGATACACAAGACCATTTGAAGCCAGCTTATACTGAGCGACACATAAGTTTTCATATAGCGGGACGATCATAGTTCGATATCCCCCATGTCTTGAGCCATCTCAACCAGGCGCCGATGTGCGCTGCACCTTGTCCTCGAATTTCTTCCAAGGTGTGCTGCTTGCTTGCAGTCGGGGCCCTGATATGTCGTGATCTCTAATTATCAACACACGGACAGTATCCCAAACAGATGACTTGTTGCAAGTAAATCCGTCCGAGCCTGGAGCACTAAATCCAACCGGGGCTAAACCGATTCCTTCTCAGGTAGTCCTTATATAGGCGGTAGCCGCGCTGGATGCGTTACTAGTGCGTGTGATCATCTTGCCCTGAATCGTGGGCCGCTGAATAACGTTGCTCAACATGCCAGCAACTCATCGGACCTCAGGCGCGGCCGCTGCAGCAAAATCACGGTTTACATTATCCGTATCTGTTCTTTGTGCCCCTCCAGCTCTTGCTCTCGGATCAAAGATTCGCCTCCACCATCGTGGTGGATCCAAGGGGCGATGGCCGCCGTGAAGCGACGGGTAGACGTCATTGAAGAAGTACCAGATGTGGCCGACAACAATGCCACAAATCTCATCCTTGGGTACAATGCCGTGTACAACCAAGCTGAAGGCCATCAAAACCCAGGGAAGATATGGCGCGGTGAAGACCAATATGCCGAGGAAACTGAGTCGAGTGTCTGGGTTGCGGCGACTCCAGATGTAGACCAGGCTAGAGGAGAGGGCGGTGCCTAGGAATGGAAGAGAGAGGAATGGTGAAATAAGGAGGAGAGAGGTCATCGCGTAGAATAACAGCCACGAAAAATGAGCGGGGGATCGACCGGAAGATTCTTCCAGGAGTCGCGAGTACCGCTGAAGGAAAAAGACATGGAAGAGTAGATCGAGACTTAATGGACCGAAGTAGAGAAATGTTGTGAGAAGTCGCCAGTACTGCCATTGCAGTCAGCCTTGCTCCTACTCAAATAACAGCGTCCTCTGCAGCTGCGGTTTCTTACGACGTACCTGAGACTTGAAATAAACTGCGCGGAAGCTGTAGAACAGCTGAAATGGAGTCAGGATATGACATTGCACCAATACTGAAGTAGCCACGGTCGCGACTGTCCACCATCGAGTGACTGGAGGCATTTCATAGAACCATTGCTCCAAGGGGAACTGCCCGCCCTGTCCACCATTTCCCCAGATGGCGGCCATTACGTCGGAGATAGAATAACAGAGCGGAGAACGAGTTGAGCTTGGTTAAGGAAGTGATTGACAGTGAGAGATACAATGAATTAAACGACAATCAATGACTTAATGAAGAGCATAGACAGTATGACTGAATAATGTACAAAAGGCACATGTGATCTTGGACAACATGTCAAACTGGGTAAATAATGACACGGCAGGCACAAGGGCTCCAGGTGGCCTTTTCTCCACCTCCGAACAAAACGTCAATCGGGAATTTGCTTACGGTTTGCTGACTTGAACGATAAGCAATTCAAATCTTTATCATCACGTGATATTCAAGCGCGCGGTACGCGTCAAATAATTCGAATGGCTGGGGACAACATTCTGCCGGCGCATTTAGTAGAGGCAGTGGAGACATGGAGTAATTGAGGGATCACCAGCCCCCCAATTCCATCCCAGCTGTCTTATTCTCGTTGAAGAAGGTTTTTCTCAAAGATAGAGGGCTCCATGCCAAGTGTTCCTCGGGTGGAATTGGTTCGACGTCAGGCCAAATGCACATTTAACATCTAGATTAGCATCAAAACAAAACAAACTACCTTTTGTCCTCGCGCGAGCGCCTGTCATAGACAGGACACAGCAAATTTGTGGACGGCGCATAATTGCGCAGTCGGACGGATATCTTTAGCGGTTCTATTCGTACGGAAAAACGCGCCCTCAATCGCCCTCTCGAGTAACGTTTGTCGCGCAACACCGAACGCCCATTTGTCCACCATGCCGCCGAAGACAGGACGAGGACGTAAAACGGTTGGGGGTCCCCGAACACAACCTCGAGATGACGGAGGTGCAGGTCCGTCTAAGGCTGCTGCTACTGCATCACCATCCACTCGGGGGCGGCCCAAGTCCCGCGGAGGAACAAGGGGGGCCAAGCGACCGGCCGGCGCCCCAAGGCCGTCAGACGTACAACGTATGTACATACATGACTCCTTACGCAGACATATCAAATCCTACGCAACAGCATTATCGCTAATACCATACTAGCTGGGGATCCAACCCCTCAAGGTCGCCGACACCGGTACAAGCCGGGAACCGTCGCACTGAAAGAGATCCGCAAATACCAGCGCTCATATGACCTCCTTATTCAGAAGCTACCGTTTGCGCGACTCGTACGCGAGGTCGCATTGGATCTTCTCCCCGCTGAAGTAGGCGCGGAGTTACGATGGCAGTCACACGCAATTCAGGCGCTACAGGAGGCCGCAGAAGCGTTCCTCGTCCATCTTTTCGAGGATACCAACCTCTGCGCTTTGCATGCTAAGCGTGTAACAATTATGCAGAAAGATATTCAGCTCGCCCGAAGAATACGCGGTGTTTGGGGCGGTCTGGGTTGATTTGAGCTTCCAGATTGCAACATAATGGCGTTTTGTGAGAAAAGAAATATCAGTCAACAAAGGGGAAAAATATCTCTCATATGAGGAATCGGATGCAAGGGAGCGACGCTACCAATATCGATTATTGCACGCAGAAAGTCGACTTGTTCCATGATGTTCAATTCTCATTCGAGGCTTTTACCTGCTATGGCATGGTGCGATTCAACCTGGGCTCTGAGTGGTGTACACGTTGCAGGCGTATGGAGAGTTGTGGAGTCATTTTCAGGAAATGGGTTTCTATCTGGTTCGTGTCGGCCGTTACATTGAGATTTGTTTTTGTGCCATGGCCAAAGAGCCTTCGCGAGTTCAATGCATGTATATTAAGTAGTCGCCTTGCCAGCAAGGTTGAATAGTGGGTGCGATGTAGTCGGCGCATCCAACTTGTGTGCACTTCAATCCTGTCAAGGAAACCGCAATTTATCAATATCTGGAGACTTACTAGGATTATGCGGTTGAGCGTTTCTGAACAAATTCTGTTCAATTTCATCATGTGTCGGAAAGGAATACCTGCGATTCAGCAGGCCTCCATGTCCATATAGCAGATTTTGTAGCAACAATTTGTTGTATCAATAGACGAGCTCCCATTTATGTATCCCGGATGCGCCAGCCATGTCCCATGTACGCAAAGATCATCACAATTGGCCATGAAGTGGTATCACAGAACAGAAGGCTAGCAAAATTGCCTTGGACAGAACCGTCGAAGCGAAAATGAAAAGAAATAAGAACGAAGATATAGAAAGAAGAAGGTGAAATCACACAGGCCGTTTCAGCGCTGGCGGTAATCCGGTCATCACGCGGTGGCCCTCGTCGCGGACTCCCTCTGCCTCTTCACTTTTCCCTTGCCTTTCCAAGGTCTCTGCCAGCATTTCATCAGTGACGCTGACCCAAAGTCGGTCATTGGCCTTCTTTGCCATTGCCCGGCCTGCCCGAGCGCTTTTTTCAGCTTGCTCCCCAACCACGCCGCGGAAATACTTCCAGCTCATGAACGTCAAGGTCATACAGGTAATTTGACTGTTGCTTATTGCCGTGGCAGATTGAAGAGCCTGCTGAAGATACTGCTTGGTCTGAATGGTTGACTCTGTGTGCACCGTCGCACATACAAGGTAATAGGCCGCCTGGATATACTTGTTGGGGCTACCCTTACAGAATGACTCAACAAGGGCCAAAGAGCTGGGAAGATTGGAGTGAGACGGATGATTGGGGTCACGGAGGATGAGAATCGTATTTAAGGTGGCAAGGATGGCGATGTCGCGACGAGGATCATTTCGTGCTGTCTTGCTGGTGATTGACGATAGTGAGAGACGAGGGGACTGGAAGATGGAAAGAGCAGCCTCCAGATCCCCAGTCGCCTGCGCAAGTGCCCCCGTTGCATACTCCATCAAGCGCTGAATGGTGTCAGGGAGCTGATCCCCGAGTCCCTCTGCAATGGGGCGCAGCTCCTTTAGTGTCTGATTCGCCAGATCCCAATCTGTACGGCCACAGGCAAGAAAAACTTGATGCAGAAGAAGATTGCAATACAAGATCCGTCGCCAATCAACGCGTCTATTCGCATTGACCATTGACTCTGCAATTTCTTGCGGTGCTTTGAAGCTCCCTGCGGAATCCCGTTAGAAATTTTTGGAACCCTAAAACGGAAGTAGGACATACCTTTAACCATACGTATCCCTTCCTGGAGAAATTTCTCAGCCTTACGACCGTCATAAGAGTTCTTTGCGCTGAGTGTGATCGAGCTAAGGAAATAGCAAAGCGCATAGAGATCGTGCTGGGGAAGCCAATTGAAACTCAATAGGAGCGTCCCATTTTGAACCTGAAGGATATCGCCCGTATCAATGGAGGAGGGTCCAGCTGATTTTCCGCTCAAGGGAATTGAGAAAGAGCCATCAGCGCGCCAATTCGGATCATTTAATCTTTCGTCCATCAAATCTTGCATGACCTTCAATTTCTGAGATGACTGGTTGATGTCGTATTCAAGGAGACTGCAACAAATATCAACCATTTGCACCAGAGTCGAGAGCTGCGGTATATGACGGAGCTCATCGTTGAGTTGATGGCTTCTTGCTACTGCAACCGCACGCTGAGCCTGTTCGATTGCATCGGAGCTCGTTCCATGTTGCAAATGAGCAAGTGCTTCAATTACGGCCGAAATGGCTGCAACAGCTTTGTCACCTTGTCGGTTAGCCATATTCGAGATCTTATGTAAATGTTGCAGCGCAGAGACGGAATCCTGATGTGCCGATGTTGATAACGAAAGTGACACCCGAAGAAAGCGAAAAGCATACTCCCAAGCTGAATGGCGATATCTGCGACTGTTAGAAGCAAGCTTTGTGGAATGCAAGGTTACAACTTACGCTTCAACATCCAGTATCATACCATCGACAGCCTTCAATGAGGCTTTCGGGTTGGTCTTGTGTAGCATCCGCGCTAGAAGATGCTGCATACTATATTTGAGATCTAACATGCGATTCTGCAATACCGTAAATAATCTGCTGGTTTGTTCCACGGGGAATGGCAGTGCATAGCCGAGGGACGCCAACTCACTCGCTCACATAAATCAATCTGTCGAAGCAAGAATGTCAGTAGACTGCTGGTTTAATGAACGACTGTGCGCTGGAACCCCTTACCCCTTTGCTCAGGGCTGTTTCCGCCTCAAGATCATTCTCCGTCTCCTCAAACAGGATGCGCGCATATCGCAACCTTACAAGAGCTTCCATTCGCGGCTGTAGTCTCCAATTCTAAAGCGTAACACTGAAATTAGCATGAATGCTCGACAGTTACTGACAAAGCAATCGTTATAATCGGGTCAGCGGCCATGCGAACCTTTAATACTGCCTCCAGGCAACCAAGACCTGTTGCAACAAGCTTGTAATATTCCTCAATTTCCATCTCCCGCCTTGATGAAGCGACCATGGTCCCGTGACCATAAGCTGCCTTTAAATACTCATCTGCCAAGCTCAACAAGAGGACTTGATAATCTATAGGGGGCTTGGTTGGCTTTTGCACGGGTTGCTGAGCGCTCTGTCGTTGCACTTGTTTCTTAGAGCCCTGGCGCTGCATTTTCTGTTGGACGTCCGGTGAAGGAGCCGGGACCAGGATTTGAGGAAGAGGTTTCTTAGACTGTACAGGAGGCGCGGGTTTCGATGCTGACGGGACGGGAGGAGCTGCTCTCGAGGATGGAACAGGAGTCGCAGGTTTTGATGATGACGGAAGAGGAGTGGGTTTCGGAGATGGCACGGGAGGAGCGACAGCTACTGAATTCGAACTTGGAACCGAATGCGCTGGAAGAGCAACCTGAGGGTACTGGTTGAAGACATTATTCCCCAGATTTGGAGTTGGGGCTGTCTGATATGCCGATTGTATTGATTGCGCGGACGTTGAGGCGGTTGCGACGGCTGGGGAACGGTTGCTGTTGCCTGCAACAGAAACCATGGGTTGGGCACCATATTGGGTTGAGCCATGGGCAAGATGAGACGACGAAGCAGGAGGAATAAGCGGTTGCTGGAACACGTCAGATGGATTCACATATTGCTGTTGCGGCGGCTGCTGCTGCTGCTGTTGGTGGTGCGATTGTGGTTGTTGTTGATGCTGCTCTATGTTATATGCTTGTCCGTAGGACGAATACGGCGAAATTATGGTCTGAGGGTAAGCGACAGGCTTGCCATACTCATATGGCGAAGCGTTTGAGTCGGCATTGCTATACAGTAGCTGCTGTGGTTGCTGCAAATACTGCGGAGGATATTGACCGTTATGAGATGGTGGGTAGTTCATCGCCCCCGAACGCAGATAACTGTCATGGAATCGCAACACTCTGCTATCCAGGATGATAGATTTCGAATTTGAGGACGAAGATGTTATCAAACGAGGTACTTTCATCATGATACGCGCCTTTTCCGTTTCGGTTCGGAGAAACTCCAGGGCGGTCAGACCACCTGATTCACCTACGTATGACTTCGGATAAGCGACAGCCTAACAGAAAGACGCTTGTGCTAAAACCATCGACGTTGTTCGCAAGCTGCTTCTCTTTTAGAACTATTATTACACGGAGTCTTATTACACGGAGTCTGCGGTAGACAGGCATCACGTAGATGGTACTGAGATGCATTGCAAGGAAATGACTTGATCTGCTATATGAGGGTATACTCTATGAGAAGCAAAGGTACTTGTCCAAACAGACGAAAAAGAGAAGGGAACCAAATCCACAAGAAGTCATTGGAAAATGGGAATCATCATACACAATAGCAAACGAAAAACCAAATACGAATGCATGTCCATCATAACGCCGTGCCTGCCATCTTATAGTCGAGCTGGAAGTACCGAAGGCTCAGAGTCTCCCCGGTCTTTAAATCTGGTTTATTGAAGTGTAAAGCTGACTCATCGACTGATCTTGGACTGCAGGACCAAGAATATCCATTCCCAGAGCAGGTGGGCCGGTTGAAGGAGGATGCTCCCGGACAGTCCAAGGGCATACCTCGCTGCAATTGTCGACTTCAACCGAATTCTCAGCGGGATGTATACGTTGAGAAGCCCACGTCTGATCTGGCGTTGACGTGGTCCCACCAAGGCATCTCTCGGTCCAGAAGTGGTAAGTTACCCTGCCTGAGGCCTGGTCAACATGGGATGGTTGCCTCCGAGGACACTTGAGCACTGAGTTGCAAGAATTGCAAATTGATATCCGCTTGCATGACGCGCAGATGCTGTCGAAGCTTTGGCAAATAGTCGTCTGGCATACACTGGAAAGCCACAGGTCGACTGATCGATGAGCACATCCGAACCGGGGCGTTATGTATTCTTCCTTTCCTAGCTTCCCGGATTCCGTTGTCAATCTGTATTCGGTTTTGATTCTCAACTGGTCTTGATCGTCCAGCTCTGGGAAGATCTCAATGTGTAGCTGCGTAGGGCCATAGTCCTTGGAGCAAGAATGCCAGCAGAACCGCTGTTGAATGCTGGCGCCGAACTGAGACTGTAAGGCGGCAACTGGCCGCTGTCGCACTTTCAAAAGTTCAACGAGGTCCATCTTATCCCGAAATGTCAATTTCTTGCAAGGACACAAGTCGACTATGCCCGCAAAGTTACCCAACAAACAAGCTCGGTCCTCCGGTTTGCGCCTGAGCTCGCGAGAGGAGAAGGCATCTCGCGAATGGAGCTTCAAGCATTTCGAGCAGGCCCACCACCTGCTGTTCTCTAGTATATTGATGAGTTGCCATCGTGTGGTGACGAAGTTGTGTCCGTTTCGGTAATGGTGGAATAGAGGTGCAAAATCGTGGCTGAACCTGAAGGGTCCAAATTAGCGAAGTGGACTTCAATGCCTAGGCAAAGCTGATGAGGCGGTTTCTGTACCTTACGGATCCGAAAATGGCTCCGGATATCGCAAACAATCGTTTACAGGTCAGAGCCAGGCATGTTTCAGGTATTACAGATAGATGCGAGATGATCTCAAGGAGCAGCTCTGTGGGCAGTTCAAGGAGATGACACCGGGTCGAAGGTTTCGTCGCTATGGTCCGATCTTCGGATTGGCCGCTTACCCACGTATCCATCTTCGCAACAGTCTTCAGCTTTTCTCCAGCCCTGCGAAAAGGATACACCATGTTGACTGAAAGCCGCGTGCTTTCGATGCGAGCTAGACGGGAAACCAGCAGCTTGGCGCTTTGTCTCCAGCGTTTCTTGTCCTTTACTCCGAAAACCTTCGTTGAAGATTGACAGTAAGTCATGGATATGGTAAGAACCAGCTAGTTGGCTGCTGGCTCTCAGGTATCATAGTGTATAGTTATATGAAAGACACAAAACGCGCATCGCGTGACAAAGAGCCGTAAAAAAGGAGGACTAAGATACGGAGGATCTGTTGACCTTGAAGTAGTCCCCCACGGCGGCTGGAAGTTGCACGCAAACGGAGCACGCGCTATGATCACAGTGTAGCAGATGCTATCAGGATTACATACAAGGCTAGGGCTTCCGATGCAGGGTCACTGTCCGACCAACCCAAAGGATGGCTGCTTGAACTCATCAACAGAAAATTGCTGCAAGCATACATAAGTTCCAGATAATCTGTAAAGTAAATTTAGAAACCAGATTTCCATTCGGAAGGGGGTTTGCAGGATTGACATCTCGCCGAGCTTTGAGCTGGCTTTCCGCTTTCGGGTCCCTGGCAGCCGCATTGAGCACTCTTACGCCTCGTAGATGTCTGCATCGTTCTTCTCAGAATATTCAACGCTTCCAATGCGTGATGTTTGGCTTGAGAAAAGCCACAGTCCGTCCTGATAAGAAGAGGAGGGAAAGAGTTCGATGTGACTGGCTATATTGTGTTATCAACTGACTGCTAGCTTCTGATCATAGGGTTTCTCTGTGTCTCATGATGCAAAGACAATCAAACAGAACAAACATCGGGAGCAAGCATGTGATTGCTGAGTCATTGATCAGATAACGATGCTTATGTCATATGAGCCTTCCCGATATAGTAGTGATGCCGAGGCAGAGGGAGAGGAAAAATCCTATACATGCAGAAGGGGTGGTACAGAGTGGTAATGTCGGCCTGTTTTCTGTCTCTTAATTCTGTCTCTTATTTTTTCACTTTTGTGGTTACTGTTGTCATAGCAAAACTCTGCTTATAGATCAGATTGTTGATGTATTCAGACGGGTCAGTCAATCATTGCTCCCTTTCAGACTTTCAGAGCTTGCCCAGCTCCCTAGGCTGCCGCTATTTCTATGACTGACTTGTCATCCAAAGTATCCTAAACGTCTATTTACTTCCGTTGGTTATCTCTGGGCTGCTGCTCGTAATAAGCATGTTGTCATGGATTCGACCAAGTGCACGCCTTTCGTTTTTCCATTCCAAGGATAACAAACTCCTCCTGGCCAAGAAGCCTGGCGAATCTGGTGTCAAGCAGCAGGTTGCGCTGGCGGATGTCTGTCGCGCTGCGACCCCGGCGAAATGCCATCTGAATCCATTCCTTTTTAACGGGCATTTACAGACTGCCTGGACTACCGTCAAATTTGACGATGTTCCTGTGTATTACAAGCGTAGGATGTTTGAGGCCGACAGTTCGATGTATAAAGGGCACTTTGCAGTGGATTTTGTCGTTGAGCCGTACGAAACGCCCAAGGACAACGCCGAAGCTACTGATGAAGCGAGGAGATACACTCTACCTTCAGGGCTTCCGGAACGGACGTCTTTTTTCTCAGAAGAGGAGTTCCAAGCTCTGCCTTCAGACGATACGAAGCCCATGCTTGTGCTTCTCCATGGTTTAAGCGGTGGCTCACACGAGCTCTATCTGCGCCATGTACTCGCGCCACTCATTGCAGATGGAAATTGGGAAGCATGTGTGGTCAATTCTAGAGGCTGCGCTCAAACCAAAATTACTACTGGTGTGCTCTACAACGCCCGGGCCACGTGGGATGTTCGTCAAACCGTAAAATGGCTCCGCAAGGCGTTTCCAAATCGACCTCTGTTCGGAATTGGGTTCTCTCTCGGCGCGAATATCCTTGCCAATGTAAGTTGCTCTCCGTTCGCAAATTGAGAGTGAATTAACACTTTCGTGCTCAGTACCTCGGTGAAGAAGGAGATGCGTGTCAGCTGAAAGCGGCGGTGCTCTGTGCAAGCCCCTGGAATTTAGATGTCGGCTCGACAAACCTCCAAAAGACGTGGCTTGGACTTGAGGTGTACAGTAAGACGATGGGATCAAGCATGAAACGACTCTTTGAACAGTAAGTTCACCGCTGTCAATAGCTAGCTATCTTGTTATTCAGGCTGACTGGTCTATATCAGACATGTTGAAGAAGTGTCAAAGAATCCGCGAGTGGACGTGGAGGCAGTCAGGAAGTCCAGATACTTGCATGAATTTGATCGGTAAGACTTCGTGCATTCTCTCAAAACAATTTTTGTCGTCACTCAGTTATTGATCATTCCGTTAGGGCACTGCAATGCGCAACCTGGGGATATCCTACAGAAGGTGCATACTATCGAGACGCAGCATCCATCGATTCCATGCTTGCCATTCGAATCCCCTTCTTCACGGTGCAGGCTGAAGATGATCCGGTCGGTTCTGCAATTGATTCTAGGGTTTAACGTCGAACTAATCACTTTGTAGGTCGCTTCGGTCGATGCGCTTCCTTTTCAAGAAATGACGCAAACACCTTACGGTGTCATGTTGACTACGTCCTGGGGCGGTCACCTCGGTTGGTTTGAACTTGGTGGAGATAGGTGGTTTGTGAAACCGGTGTGTATCCTGCTACGGACACCAGACGCTTCTATTAACTTTTGAGATAGGTGACAAACTTTCTGAACGCCATGGCCAAGGAGATTGACCTCGGAACGCCATTCAAAGTTGAGCATCCTGAGAAGCTTCCTGGTCATATTGCAAACCACTTTGATCTGAGCAAAGATCCAAACACGGCGCCCAAACGGGACTTTGACCCTATGCGGCGCAAATTGGCCTTGAAGATGGTGCAATAAGGGGAACATAAATACACACTTCTGGCCTGGTTGGGAAGGCCGGTACATGAAGTCATGAGTGCCCATTCATGTCACTTTCGGGTAATACATAGACCTGCGGAAACGCCAAATAACCACATCTAGATACATAAAATTGGTATAGATAGAATAGACTTTTGTACATAGAACGCTCAAGCAAAAGAAACACTCTTTCTCTTTCCTTTTGACTTTGAATCTGATTTAGGTGTAGAAGCGTCAGGTTTGGATTCTTCATTGCCGCTGCTCTTGCGCTTCCGCTTTTGGCGAATTGATTGTTTCGCTTCTTCCTATATCCAGATGTTCCTGTTAGTCAACGCCTTCATGCAGAGAAAGTCCAATCGAGATTCCCTTTATGGAAATGATAGAGCATATAATATCGACACATACCAACTTGTTCTTCTTTTCCGCATGTCTCGCTTCTGCTTCTTTTCTCTTGGCTTCGCGAATCTCCTCTAATTGACGCGCCTTCTGCAGCTTGGACTCAATGTGGCCCTCTTGTTCGGCATTGACCATGGCAAGGATAGTCATCATTCCCTCCTATACATAGAGGTGTCAGTGATTTTCAGCCAAAGCGAGAGACATAGACTGGAGGATGGGCGGACGTACCTGGTCATCAACAAAAACCTTTCCCTTCTTCTTGCCCTTTGGCTTCACTACTCCAACAGGTGTGATCATATTCAGCTTCGGGAGGTTAAGTTCTTCTTCTGTATATTCCCTCTTCTTCGTCTTCTTCAATAGTGATGACTCGGTGCGTGCCTTCGACTTCACTTCCTTGGGTGGCGGGCGCTTCGCATTTTTCTTGCTCACTTTCGATGCGGATGAGAGAGGCTTGCTCTTTCCTGAGTCACCCTTGGAGGATGACTTGCCTTTGACTGAAGGCTTATTCGGCGCCATATCTGGTTTATCGAGTTCCTGCCTCGCACGCGGTTATGGTGCAGAGGGAATCGAATTTGCGGGTGTCTTTTCGCTTAAGGTAGGTTGATAGCGAGAGGAAGACAAGTAGACCAGGATCGTATCAAACAGCTTTCACAGTTACTTGCACCGATAAAATGGACAACAATGCGTACATGGAGGTTAATTTCTGGAGTCGACCACAGCAAATCTCGATGCTCTCCAAATAACTGCGGACGAAATTTTTCGCAAAAGGAAGGCGGTAGGTCCAACCGGCGAGGATCCCAAACCTCCACTTCCAACCCATCCATCGTCACGCTAACTTGAGCCCGAAAAGGAACGTCGACTACCAGCGCACCTGTCCCTCCCCCAGCTTGCTGTGTTTAGGCCAGGATCACCAGCCACTTCCAAGATGACCATCAATCCCACTTACCTCGCGCAGCGCACGCGCTCCTGTATGTGCAGTCCTTCCCGCACACGAGACCCCGAGACGGTCCGGCGATGACCTTACAAATTGCCGCGATGTCAGTGGATGAACTGGCCAATGCTAACGTACATATTCATGACAGCCGTCAATTGGGCCGATGCAAAGTCTCGCGTCATCCGGTCCTATAGAGAATGGCTCAGAGCGGTCAGTTTTGTCCAACCCGCAGCTATACATACTCTGATTTGGCCCTTGGATTGCCGTCCATTGAGCTGCTGAGAGCTTTGAGCATTGGCGAATGTTTCTCTACAAGCATGAAAAGACTAACATAAAACAACGTCGAGGAGAATAGTCCCCCGAGATTCAGACCATGTACTCCTTGAACCTCCCCGTATCCGCAATCCGGACGAAGATTCGCCAAGAGTTTGAGAAGCATCGCTACGTCCAGCAGCTGGGTGTTGTTGATGTTCTGTTGTTCCAGAGCCATGCCGAATACCAGGTCAGTCCAGAGGCTACCAATTTACTTAATTCCAAGCCGACGATATGATCCGAACGATATATTCTCCATGGCTTGATCCTATGTCTTGAAATAGCCTTCTTCGAACTTTACTGATGGTATTTCTCTAGGAAACCCTCAACTACTGGAAGCAGCTTTCGCATGTGATGAAATACTTCCGGCCAGAAGAGGAGCCCGGTGCTAGATTACCTCCCAACTTCATCTCTGGCTTCTTGGAAGGCCGCAATTGAATTTCCTTTTCAAGCTTTTTCACTTGCCATGAGTTTCGTCCGTCTTCGGGGCTTGGGGCATTGCGTTGCGTCCCAGATAGAAAGCGGTCATGTAAATATTGTCAGACTAGCAAATTGCAGCTGTTATTCCTCACATGTTGCTGCATTCATTCTGCCCTGCGAGTACTTGAACAAATCGCAGAAGGCACCGAACTTCTACGAACAGACGTTATCACTTGCAGGTCTGCTGCACATCATACACTGTAGAGGGATATCTAATCATTCTATTAAAGACATGTTTGCTCCAGTACAATGCCATAAGACAACAATATCGTCCCAATAATGAATACCACGGAAAACTTTTTGCTTCAATATACAACGCCATAAATGTCAAATCCGCCCAAGAAGAGCCATGCATCACGAGGTCATCTTATCAGCCTGGGCAGCATTGAAAGCATCCCGCGCCGATGTGAATTTATCTGTGACAACATCACAGAGGTCCATCAAAGCCTCCAAGCCCTTCTCCAGGGCTTCAACTGCAGTCGTCGAATCTGCGATATCCCATCAGCTCCATCAAACCACGCCTACGTGTGGCAGAAATACATACCGTATGTCTGGATACGCAAGTTCATCTTGGCTTCCGAGGGATGCGGGATCGTGTATCCGCAGAATTCAACTTCGGGGCTGACAGGGCTAGGGGTCAGCTATTGCGACATTTCCGAGAACCAGAATAAGGCCGACTCACTTCTTCATGATGGCGTAACGTAACGCATTCCCCAGAGTATGCCCCTCACCTTCAAACTGAAAAGAAGCTGCGGTCTCGGTGGCACCCGGTAACTAAAGAAGATTCTGTAAGCGACCAGCCGACGAAAATTCGCGCTGCGCCTCTGACAGGAGTAGAACCGCGAACGACGGGGGCCGTATAACGCACCACGACAATACGCTTTTCCTCAAGCTCGAACTCCTCCTGTTCATAGTCCTGCTGCTGTTCCAGCTCCTGAGGAGCAGTGTCCATCATGGACTGGTCTTGGTCTTGAGAGTGCACAGAGGCTGGCATGGTGGATATTCGAAGGGTATGTAGCACGGTTTAGTCGTACAGAGAGTGATAGCTGAATGCGGGCTTGGTCAGCCTGGTGAAGGTGCAGAAGAGTGCGTTGAATGCGCCTCGTCAAAAAACGCTAGCTCAGATCCCTCTGTCTTTGATCGATATGTCTGTTTCCTCCGGTTGTGAACCTCTCTTATGCAGTTGTTCTTGTTTCAGAGACAGTGGCTTGTAAGCAGCGGAGCACTTTAGCGGCGTCTCGTTCTTAGGTGTTCTTCCAACGGAGCAGATCGAATCGACGGAGCAAGTGCAAGAGGCCTCAACTGTCAAATATAGTTCCTGAACGCAATTTAGTAGTGATGCAGAGGAGTGAACCCGAGTTGCGCAGTTCGCCAGGTCCTTCAGAGGAAGAAAAAGAGTAAAAATGGTTATCGATAGCGCGCTGACCGCCTACGGTATTCGGCGAATCTTGGCGGATCGTCAGACATAGAGAGGTACCTTGACATACATGCTTTAGAGCTCGAAGAGAAGCTTTAATGCATCTGTACGATGACTGGGGTTTGCTTTAACTGACTGATCATTCCAAATATCCACAGTGCAGCAAGCAAAAGTAGGGATGAGGGGTTGCTGTTCGGCCGAACGAAGCAACTACCACAGCTTGAGCTAATCATGTAACGAGAGATACCGAGTTCGATACCGAAATATCGTTCTTTACCTTCAGCAACTGTACTCAAGGGAAAGATCATTTGGGTTTCGAAGAGTCAGAACGTGCCATCTACGCCTAATACAGGATACACAACATACTACTATACGGAGGACGGTCTACGGAGTACTAGATATCTATGTGATAATGTGACTGAGACAGGCTCTCCTGCTCATGTTGCAAGAGGCCGTCAGGGATCCATGCAGGTTATCTATTGGCTATCCTACAGTATTTCTCATACAGCCCAGCTTTTAGTTATCAAAAACCTCAGGATCGACCACTGCCCCGATTTGTGGATGTTGTGCAACTGTGGCTTGTCGAGCAAGAGCTATCAATATCTTCAGTGTGCGCAGTGCACATACAGGATTCTGTTGGATACGCTCTGTCAGTCAATGTTTGAGTTCAACTGGCAAGTCTGAAGTAGCACCATGAGCGGTTATAGCAAGCAATATGATGTCCGTCATTCGGGCTTTCCAACAGCTGCGACCTCTTAAGACACTGGGTATTCCCGTGGATAACATTTATCATAGCACCGTCATTTACCTATAGCAAGAAATTTTCCGAAGTGTAAGAATTATGGAGTCAAGACGGGCTGACAGCTGACGATTGGCAGACACTAAAGGAAACTATTGAATTGAAATGGAACAATGGAGGCCCAGTTGAGTCTGAGCGGCTGAAATCTGAATATAGTAATAGTAGACTTGTAAACTTTCTGCTATTTTGAGTAGATCTCAGATTAAGATCGGCTCAAATATGGATTTCTCGGCGCAAAGACCACTGGCCAACTGCTGTGACATGCCCGCGGGCCATGACACAACTCTTCGGCCTCTCTGGCTGAGGAATAGGTCTGTGCTGACTCTTGAATGCTCGGTATGGTATTTTACCAGTACCTGAGGATGATTCTCACTACTGAATGGGTAATGCTAATAAAGAACCAGAGAAGCATGGTATTTATGATTTAATCAACCCACTTGGGCTTGGAGGATAGTTTGCACTTTGTGCGGACTGGGGCCAAATCAAGTCTCTGCATGCATTAAGGCGATGGTCGTGTTCCAAAGTTCATGCTTCCTTAAGGCCGTGATAATATCCGTAATTTCACCAGGAACACTCATGGGGCGAACAAATCACTAGTGCATCCATCTTGCACGTAGTGCGACTGTGCTAACTTGCTAAGGTTGGCCTATAATAATTTCCCAGAGGTTTGGATCATGGATTATCTATCTACTATCTATCTGCGTCGTACTTTTTTTGACCTGTCACAATCCCAAAGAATTTATAAACTGGTTTGTGGACAGTATCATGTCTTGTAAAGAGGATTCAGATTACAAATGGAATACCAATGCTTGAGACAGTCTTTCTACGTTATGTGACTTGATAAGAGGACTGCCCCTTCCAACACAAGTTTAGATGACTCGAGTATAGTCTCGACTCTGTACGTTGATCTCTACAGGTAGATATCACATGATAGTAATCTTTGTGCGTTGCCCCATAGCAAGGTTAATAGCCAAAATAACTTATGCAATGACAAGGTTTGCAAGTTTGCTTATATTTATTGCTAGCCATGAACCACTTTCCACTATGATTAGACTACTGTCAGAGACCTAGCTCGATAATCAACAACCGCTGCAACAAGAACAGGGATTGGCTCTCTTCCTGCATTAACTAGATCGATCCGTGCGTCGATATCTCAGCTCAGCAATAATAGCAGGCCGCATGGGCCAAAAATACTTGTTCAGAAGTAATTATGTTTCCGTAAGGTAGAGTGAGTTTCTACCACTATCAAACATTAGCTACAATGAATATTAATGCTCCGAATCTATAATATTCAATGTAGCACCCGCACTGGCTCCTGAAGTGGACTAGCATTCCTGAAGGAAAGGCCGTGGACCGCACGAGGCATGGGTCTGTGTACAGCGAATAGATAAAGTGCCATCTTGTTGGGCAAGACGCGCACATTCGATTGACTCAGAATCCCTGGCGAAGCTCGATCCACGGACGTTAGATGTATATGACCTCGCGGAGATTATCATGAGAGAACCAGCCGAGATAACAGCATCTGCTGGATTTCGAAGAAACTAGGGATGCGTAGTATCCAGGTTTATTGGGGCGAGCAACCTGAAGAGCAAGAACAGCTGACTATTGTTGAAGCTCATGCTACAGCAAGTAAACACGGATACTAAATCTAGTGTCCATTCAGATTGGCGCTCTGATGGTGATCAAGATCAGGAAGAGCAGATCTATGCATAAATTAGTCCCTCGTGGGCATGGTCCTTGACTGACAGCCTAGTTTATTGGAGCAATATCTTATGTCTCACAGTCATCTCAGTATTTAATGCAGTATTTCATGTCAGGAAGATTCAGACAAAGACTCTGATGAAATTAATTTCTCTTGCAAAAAGGAACCTCAAAAATGACCAAGCGAAAAGCACATGGCGCGAGAAATTAAACAACCAATGCTTGGGTCTGGGGTTTTGATTGGAGGACTTAAAGGGTCACTGGTGTCGCAGATTTCGTCGCCCTGGCTCGCCACAGGAGAAAGAGGGGCACTATTTTTATGTGCTGTAACTGATTAGGAATGGACTGGGCCAGTATATGTTTGAGAAATGTTTGCTACTACGGAGTACTCTGTGGACAATCAACTGCGCCCTGGTTTTTGAAGGTAAGCTCGCGTAATTATTTTGTTGTCATTCTTTTGAACTACGAGCATACCCAGTAATTCATTGCTCGGAAGTCGACTCGGCAGAAACCTGGACACCATACCTTTTGTTATTTTGAAGATATGCCTCAAAAGTCAAATCCGTTGAGAATGTACTTCCTATCTTAGTTACTTGATACCAAGCTGTCGAGTGTCGATGCTGGGTCGACGCTAGGTCCCCAATTACTGCCAGAGGCGGGAAGCCAGGATGGGGTCAGACTGTCAGACCCTAAGGTGTTCCAGATCTCAATTTGTTGTAAGTGTAATACCTTAGGTATCTGTCCCTATATATTGTCCTGTCGTTCAGGTTGCAAGCCGAACCGCGATTCTGTAAGCACGCCATTTACTTGACTTTGACTTGGGGCCGAGGCATACCTAGTTTTGCTTCTTAACAGCTACATCTGCTGATTATGTTTAATATATATTCGGTATGATATCTCCGACTGAGATACGAATCGCATCCCAGCATGGATTGGTGAAAGTTGGCTGTTTTAGTTGTCACATCATTGATGGACAAGCCCTGGGCAGAAACAAACCATGTCTCAGAATTCTCCAATCAAGTCTCATCCCAAACTCTCATC